TCCAACCACAGTCAAAACCACTATTTATTCTTTGTGTTAAATGATCAGAGGCAACTTGTAATTTCTGATGCCCAGCTCAAAAGACCTTAATACTATTTTGTAGACATGAAATATACAGATCTATGTTTCATATTAGTTGATCCTTACCGTTTTCTCCTGGTCTTCAAAGGCTTCTCTTGCTTCTTCTTTTGAGCAGCGCTCCTCATTGCATTCTCTTTCAATATTCCCTTTCTTCAATTCCTCAAAAAAAGAGTTAGCACGTTTTGATCTTTCCAAGAACCTGTCGGCATTTTCTTTCTTGATGAATACTAGACAACAGAGAAAACGATACAGGTGGCAGGTAACATTTGGTGGTGGTAAAGAGTCATTAGAAATAAGTGAAGCGGAAACAAAACCAAAACTGACCCTCTTGCCACTCTACCCGTAAGCAACATCACCTGTGAGGTCAGTCCTCACACAGACTGATACATCGCAGAATGTCTCAGAGCAGCCTCTCTCTGAGAATCAGTGACTCCAGGACAAACCGTAGGCGCCCAAAATTCTCTCCTACTGTTTTTAGTCTTGAAAATAAGAACACACAGGTTGCCACTGAGGGCTTATATTTCTGTTGTTCCTGTTGAAGACTCCAGTCTTAATCAGAATGACTTTCCCTGAAGGTCATGGAGACTGCATTCCTTGATTTGGTTTTAAAGCTGACAACCAGGCAACACCACCACCTACTCCAGGGGCTTGTGGTACACAAACTAAATGCCACACGAACTCAAGATGCAGTAACGTATCTAATGACAGATGGGAAAAGCTGTTTCATGGTCCAGCCCATGTACGAGTTCTACTGCCCTTCACCACCCCAAATCCCACTGCACTGCCCTGGGCGTCTTCCTTCCCTTTTAACAACGCTTCCCAATTGCCTGTAGTAATGTTCCTGCCTTACTGATATGTGTGCAGGTAGAGCTAAGGTAGCTGTGTTCTAAGGTTTAACAAAGAGCAGAAGTAAATAAACATCAGCTTTAGCAGGAAAGTACAGCCTGAGGTCAGTTTGCTGGGTTGTTTTATTTGTTAAAAGCTTGGTGTCACAGAAGCGTGAGGCCTGCTGCCTTCAAGTTCAAGATGCAGGTAGCTGTTGCTTTAAACTGAAGGATCAGAGGCATTAAACTCAGCTCCGCCACTTGGCTACATGAACAATAGCGTTGCTCTCCAGTGACTTGTGCACACATTACCAGATAGGAAAAACAGAAACAACACTGGAGTAAATAAATTGCCAATTACCCTGTAAAAAGCATACACTCTAGGAAAATTTGCAGAGTCTGGAAGATGGCATTAATTAAGTTCTGAACACCTGGAATTTAAAGAGAAAAAATACTTTCCAATCACAGACTGGCGTGTGGAAGACAGTGCTGCAGATGGGACTTCAAGGCCAATGGCTCACGCTCAGTGGGCAGCTTGCACGTACCTTCTGGAGCATTCTTCATGCAGCTCAATTAAGGAATAAGTAAACTAGCTGATAGTAATCATATACCCTAACATCCTCTAAGCAAACACAGTGGGGACTCACTCCGCTTTCACTGAAATTGGTGTATCAGCAACAAGGAGCCAAATTCTGCCAGTGCTATTTATATTAATTGACCCCATAGAGCACACAAGTACTTCGGAGCCCTGCTTATTCTGAAAGGCTCCTTGCAAGGAAGGCTTACAGAAAGTGCTTGTAACTTCTAGCTCAGCAACTGTTAGTTCATTCACCCACTATCTTATTTGCCGTTAAATCCCTCTCCGCAGTGACAGGAAAGTAACAGGACGCATCCGGTGGGGTTATCGCCTCTATATTCCTTTGCCTCCACGTCACCTACGTAAGAGGATGTTATTGTAAACTTGAACTAGCCGATTAGCTTCTGAGGCTGGTCGTTCTCTTTCCCAAGCTTTCCATCATGCTTCCTTCTTCGGAGACATCAAGGAGCAACAGGCATTGGTCAACTGAAGTAAGACATTCCAGAAACGTGCAGAGAACCTCATTTTAAAGCCTAAGCAGGCTGACTCACTGAAGGAAGAGTTAACTACCTTTGAAAAGCCACTTGCTGATGCTGCTCTGGACTTTGGTGTTGACCCTAGCAGCACAAACAGAGGGTGGCAGGACACGCTCCCCCTCTGCGCCCCAGCCCCTCCACGGCCAAGTGCACCCAACCAAGCCTTGGTCAGGCTTCCCTCACAGACATGAGCACCTCAGGCTGCCAGGGCTGTTGTCCTCCCGGTGCGAACAACGGGGAGGGCCAGCAATCCCATTTTATAGGCGGGGAAACAGGAAGGCACAGCAGCCTGGGAAAGGCCACACGAAACCGCAGCGGGACACGACACCCTGGGGCTCAAGCACCCCGAGGTGCCCCCTTGGCAGCTCCCTGCCCCCGAGGCAGAGCTCGCCCGTCTTTCGGCGGGGTGCGGCGGGTGGCACAGGTGCAGACAAGCCCTCTGCCGGCTTGGAAACCGAGCTC